CATGACACAACAAAGGGCGGATTCTTCGTGCTACTCTCTATGAAGACCGGGTACTGCGCCCTTGACTAAACCCTCAGACCATCCCTCTGAGGGCCCTGCTGCTTCCTTGTTTCTGATGAGGATCATGTCGCCTTCAGTATTTCTTCCCACGGGGGACTTCACCACCCGATTATGAGACCTCCAAGCCACCAAACTATACTCTCGCCCGCCCTTGGGCTCCTCCTTAGTCAGCCTTGACTAACCCTTACTAAACAAGTACCATTCCCCCCAAAGGGCTTAGGAGGTAATACAAGCCAAATCGAGAATACGATTACAACACCAAACTATGCACGGGGGCTTCCCAAAACTAGGGCTACCGTTTTGGGGGTCCCTATGATAAGGACTATAGTAATTGGTTGTCTATATTTGGGTTCCCTTGTTTGGGGAAACTACCACTTCACTACCTCCAAACCCCTTTTCATTTGGTTCTCAATTGTAAGGATAATTATCCCATGATACGAGCGAAGATAGCTTTGAGAAAGAGGCGGCATTTAGGACCACAGCGGACATCCATAAATCATGCCAAAGGCTCAAGAGGCAGCCTAAGAGTCATACAACTTTTGATGACATGGACCTGAGAATTCCCTTTTTTGTCTGGAAGCAGTTTTCGTTGTAGGTCTAGAGGGCTATACAAACACTACTAGCAACAGCGAAAAATATTCAGAGACCTAGACCTTACTACCTGAAACCGTAAATCCTCCAAAGCCCGAGACCTTGAACCCCAAACCCTAACAAATGGCAACCTGAGCCCGTGGCCCTCAGAGAAGCCGAGAGTGCTGTCCACCGCGATTTCGGTGGCTCCAGCCAGCCTGTTTTTGGCTGTTGTTGCAGTGAACAGTTTGCGGGACGTGGGGAACTTTGGGATTTTGAGGAAGATTGAAGGTTTGGGGATTGGGGGTGTTGGGAATCTTGGAAGGTTTGGGGAAGTTGCGGTCGTACAGGCGAAGGCTTCGGCACTTCAAGTAACAGAAATCTGACCTAATGCACAGTTGCGCTTCCGATGAAGTTCAACCAGTGTGGCTCCGCTTGCGGCTTACGACAGAAACTGTGCAGTGTGTGGCTCGGATGGGGGGATTTGGGCGATTTACAGCTTGCAGTATTGCTTGCAGAGCACTTAGCTGGGTATCCACAATCCCTAAATAGTAGTTTCCATTTTATTTTCCATTATCCCATATAACCCCAAAATAAATACCCCATTAGTCTATAGTGGTTTCCATTTTTTCTATTATCCCAATATAACCCCAATATATACCCTATAATCCCCATATAACCCATGATAGTGGTTTCCACTTTCTTTTCCATTAGGGTTTCAAGGCCTTCTGGAACATTGCAAGGTCTGTGGGCTTCCGGGTCGCGGGCTGTGGAACAGCATGGCTGCAGGTTTGTAAGTTGCTACATATGTATAGACATCCTGGTATCAGGATCATGTTGGGCCGGGTGTAGTTTGTAGCCCTTCCTCCAAATGAATCTACATGACTTTGGCAACGTGCTTGCGGATCTGCATGGGAGGACATGGAGGTGTTTAGAGTAGAGGGCATAACAAGGATCGAACTAGGTCAAAGAATAGATATAATAACCCGTGTTTGAACCTCATGTAATTTGAGCCACACCTCCCATCAACATCCCTTAACCTACGTCTGTAATTCATTAACACAACTAGAAAACTGCATGAGCCAGACACTTTTGTTTTTTTTGGTTTGCGGCTTCTCAGTTTAGGGTTAGTCCCAACTTGTAGTGCCCAGTATCCATCCCATGCGCCCCATTCTACAGGTAGCACGAAGGAGGAGTTCTGAGGTGTGCACACATCTCGTGTGATGTCTGAGGAGGCCCTGGGCGTCACCTGGGCAATGTTCCAGGTTTAGGGACAGGGCTTAGGGGGAGAAACGATTGCGAGAACACCGTTTGAGAACTCTCAATCATGAGAGGACGTCTCCCAACCTCAATAATGCAATGTCGGGCTCCTACTTGTTGCATCAAAATCAAACAACCCTTAAACCTTAATGGTAGTTTCCATTTTAGTTTCCATGATCCTAATACAACCCCAATATGTACCTCAATATTCTTTAGTGGTGTCCAGCTTCTTTTCCATTCTCCCTCTACAGTCCCAAGATATACCCTATTATACTATAGTACTTCTTCTACGGTCTTCCCATGCTTAAAGGATCCTAACTCTCAACCTTGAACCTTAAAATCCCCTAACCCTAAACCCTAAAACCCTGAAGTAACTTAAGTTAAGTTCCTTAAACAGCAACCCAGTTAGTAACCCTAAACCCAGGTCTTCAGGGATTCTGCAGCAAAGCGGTCCTGCAGAACAAGCCTTACCCTCAATCCATCGCTGCGGAGCCTCAAAAGAAACCCGAGTCCGCCCTCAAGTGTGCTACTATATGGGGGATTGTCAAAATTATGGTCCCTTTTTGGGTCCCTATTATAATACGGGGCCTAATTTAGGGGACCCAAAAAGGGACCATAATTTTGACAATCCCCCATATTGCTGATAGCGGTTTAGGGTTTAGAGTTTAGAGTTGGGGACTATACAGGGATAATGGAGAAGAACATGGAAACCACTATAGAATAATGGGGTTACATTGCGATAACGGAAAATCTGTTGGAAACTACTATTTAGGGTTTAGGTGTTACTATTAACATTATTCTTACTACTATTGTTGCTACTATATTCCTGTTATCATTGTTAGCATGCTACTATTATCATTACTGCTAACACATTCTTACTGTCGTTACTATATTACCATTTTTTTGGTTATTATTCCCTCTTCCCTACGAAGTTAGGAGGCCTGAGGTTGAAGGGCCCTCCACATAAACCACCACTGCCACCTGGAGTCAGAAGCAAAGAGAAGGCACATGGTATACTATGCCTCGCGTATGCCTCAAGTTCATATTGTTTTGCATTTGAGCCCCTACTTGCTACGATTCAAGCAAATGTATGTGGTCTAGCGCTCATCAGCAACTCGTCAAGGTTCATCAGTAGATCTACAAGCCCTCAGCCCCCGATCCCGAGCCTCTGAACCTCTTACTGATGTTTTATCTGGAGTGGAGGAGTGGATCCCTACAAAACTCCCTGTATAATCGCCCACAGGACTTCCCACTCCCCCTGAAGCACAGGTCAGACAATCATTGATCTGGGTACAGTCGTCGTAGTTGTCGTGATCGTCGCAGTGGTCACACCTTGAACAGGTTTCGATGGAGTCGGCCTTTAGAGTCCAATGTGCAGAGCCTTCTTAAGACTCCCCGGTTTTGTATAGCTCAGGCGTAATTCAGATCTAGCGGATCAGCATGTATGGTTTAGGCCTATAACAAACCTAGAAACCCTCTGCCATTATGTCTGCAAGCCCGAAAAGGGGGGGGGGTGAAGAACGGCTTGATGTCGTTCAATGCTTTTTGAGGCGCACTTGGCAGGACATGGCTTCGGCACCCTTGTTTGATTGCTCTGGCAGCTGCGGCAAAAACAAACTCTTTTTGAATCCCCATTGCAGAGATACCAGATGGATATCTACATTCTAGCCCAGCCCTTAATCAAAAGACATTCCTTCAAGCATCCAAAAGTTTGCTCAGCGGCAAAAACTACCAGAAAGTAGACAACGGACTGAATGACTCTGCTTCTGACAGCGTGAATGCCAATTAGGATCTCCTTTCCAAAACTGCTGAGACTTGAAAGCTTGCGCAAAAAGCATACAATCAGCAGGTAAGTGTTGCTGGATTGGCAAATTGGGACAGCAAGTCCTACAATCAGGGTTCAAGTTGCAGTAGAACAAGCACCAAACCCCACAACCAATCGTGTCTCGTTGCGCAAGAGAAGAGCGACAATGCTGACCAAAGCAAAAGCACATTCTCAGCTTCATGTGTTTCCAAGACACTGGTTGTCGTCTCACTGGTCGTTGTCATGGTCATGCTGGTGCCGGTGTACGTGGAGGTGGTCAGGGTCGACGTGAACTGGGCCAAGGGTTTTCCGGAGATCCCATACGGCGCGTTACAGTGTTTTGTAGTACAAAAGCGCCCTATGTTTACCCACACCCCCATGTAGCATGCATGCATCACAAGGATTTCACGCCACCTTTAAGGTGGTTAGTCCTGCACGCGCCTCCTGAAATGAGGCGGACGCCACTGAAAGTTCAACTTCTTCAAACCAAAGCCACTTGCCATCAAACCAGTACAACATAAACACATCCTTCAATCCACAAACCACTATCATCCCCTCTCTTTAACTACTGGCAAAACTGTATAGCACGGCTGGGAATGAAGATGGAAACTCTTGATTCACTTGGGTTCACTCAATCCTGTTTGGGGACTACTTGTTTCAATGCCAGTCATCCTGTAGCACAAAGGAAGCACCAAACTACCACAACTCCTAGGGTTGCTCATGCCTGCAGGGTAACGAAGGATCTTTCAAACAGCCCTAAACCCTTTATAATCCCTAGTAGTTTCCATTTTTCCATTATCCCAATATAACCCCAATATAGTCCCTATATAATCCTTATAATCCCTAGTAGTTTACATTTTATTTTTCATTATCCCCAACATTGCCTCTAATCTGCAACTGGCAAAGTTGCAGACCACAAGCCTGCTCCCTGATCTGCAACCCTAACAGTAGTAGTGGCAGTAGCCCTGGTAATGGTAGTAGTGGCAACCATGCTAGCAGGAAATGCACAAATCATGCTACAGCAACCTCGGGAACACCAGGTCCAAACAACCGGCAGGCGGCAGGGAATTCTACTAGTAGTTACCTAGACTCTTTGCCAGCCACCATACAATAAAACTTAGAGCCTTCGTATCCCCCTCCATTGGAGACAAATTATAACTTCGTCCTGAAACCACGTCATTGGCTCTTCTCGACGCCTTCGGCTAGCTGCTAGCATGATTTCAGTCAAGTCCGGTCTAGAGGAACCTTGCAACCATCCCATTCCAACTCTGTCTCGATGGCTCTAGGCTTGCAGTAAGGCTCGCACGGATGTTATGGTGACCGTCGTGGTGCTGACCGTCGTGGTGCTGACCGTCGTGGTAGTTTGGGTAGTTATTGTGGAGGACGTTGTCGTCAGAGTTGATGTGACACTCGTTGAGGTGGTAGAAGTAGTCGATGAACTTGTGGTGGAAGACGACGTTGTGGACTGCACAGGGCTGCTTTTTATGGTCGTTTAAGTCTTAAGAAAGAGATCCCCGTGGTTTCATCCTGACATTGCAGCATGATGTTCCAGCATGATGTGCCACGGAGCTTTTACTGCTGGTACTCACTGAAGACTTGTTCAGCTTGTGCAGCAAGGCTTGAATCCAAGAGTGCATGGTTTCAAGCATGAAAGAACAAACACATCCCAACTTATTCAGACTTGGTGGTGTAAGTCTCAGCAGGGAACTACTGAACCAGAAGGCTTCAACATTACAGATCCCAAAACGATCCCTCCCCAAGTGGGAAAACCAAGAAAATTATGATGGTTTCTCAAAACAGTGAAGCCCTAGAGAAGTATTGGGATTACATGGCGATTTCTGCTGGGAATTTTATAGAGGTGATTTTAAGAAACCTAACACGACAAACGGGGGCACGAAGCATGCAAAGGTAAACCCGTGTCTGTGGGTTGCCGATCTCCAAAACCCAAATCCCCCGGACCAGTCTAACTATTCCTTATCCTAGCGGGAACGGAGCTGTGTCAAAGCATGAGCCGTGGTGCACCTGGCAATCGAAGCAGTCACGAACAAGAGCCAAAACGTTAGCAACAGTACTTGCAAGAGCCAGGGTAAAAAAAAGACAACTATGCAATACCAGCTGCAGCTTCACACGATTAAAAACAAGAAAAAACAATCAGGGCGATGAGACAGTCAGGAATACATGCAGCATGCAACTATTACCGACAACCGAACCCCTCCGCCTAATCTTACCCACGCACCCCCTAACCCCCTAAACAACAAATACACCCTAGATGATATTAGAATATGGGGGGTATCTGTTATTCAGAGCATGGGGGCTTATTAGCAGGGTGACGATTAACTAAGACTACAAAAGAGGTACATGCTTCGCGTCTGTGATACTTGCTGCTGCCAGGCCAAGATATCAAGGATATAGGAATTTCCAAAAAATGGGCGCCCCCACATGGACCCCAAGGGATATGTGGGGATTAGAAGAGGATTGTGGGAGGTCGGTATTAGGGATTCGAGAGGAATTATGTTGAGAAATGCCTAGATCGGAGTCTGAACTTTGACGATGTATCATGTGTCCCACATCCTCGACCTGGAATGCAGCATGAGCTGGCTTTACCAGCCTCTCACAACCATACTACCATAGCTACTTGGAGGGTCATGGAGACTTAGTAAGTAGGTTAATGATGAAGATAATTGGGGTTATTATATGGCTTATAGGGGCTATTAACCTGCTTACTAAGTCCCCATGACCCTCCAAGTACTTGCAGGGCATAACCACGAGCCCATCAGAAGCAAGACTGAATCAGTTGAGTCACTGATGTTGTAACTGAGGTCGTCTGTGTGACCGAAGTTGATGTGGCAGTGTTGGTGACACTGGTCGTTATTGTGACGGAGGTGGACGAGGTACCTGGATGACTTTTCGGACTTGATCATTTCTATTTGGACTCCCTTCTGTGACAGCTCCAGAAGCTTGCGAGCAGGGACCAAAGACACCATCAACAACAATCCCTGAGCCCCGACCTGGAAACCCAGAAGCCTACTCTCAAAAGCCGGAACTCTCATCCCTCCACACACAGACCGCTGTGACCCAGGTACTGGACGTGCTCGTGACTGTGATTGTCTCTGACGTCGTTGACTGGGCGAGCTTGAAACCAAGGACTCATGGTAAAGGTTTGGAGTTTTGGGAGAATAGTTCTTGCTGTTATCAAGAGCCAGGATTTCGGGATTAGGGTAGGGATATATTGGGGTTATATAGGGATAATGGAAAAGAAAATGGACACTACTTGTTTATATCTAGTATATAATGGTATATTATAGTATGTTAGGGTTGGAAATTTAGGAATTGAGGAAGCTTGGAGCTGAAGGGCTCCTGGTTCTGTCACAAGATCTGTTAGGCCACATGGAATCCATGCTCAGTTGGCACACTTTTTTGTTTAAGAGCATTGGGGGCATGCCGCTTTGGCCCCAAACCTATTCCAAGCTCTAAAGCCCCCATACCTCTAAACAAACACCTGCACCCTAAAAACCCTGAAGATCTAAAGTCCAAACGAATCCAGGTTTGCACAAGGCTAGCGGATCCGTTTGGCAAAAATACGTATCGGCTGAATCAAGACTGTTGCTTTACTTGAAGCTTTACCCGCTTGCATCTAAAGTTCTGCTGTTGCAGGAGATCATACAAGGATTATGGATTGGGATGGGGTCTATTCGAGTCGTCGGCACCATTCCTGGTGTTACTCTTATCGCGGATCCCATTATCAAGGACATAAGTGGAGGGCCTCCTGAATTTGAGAAACTCCCAACCCCCTAAACCCAAAACCCTGAACCCTAAACGGGCTCGTAGTTTCGATGCAGGGCGCTCTAAATGGGTCTAGAAGGAGTGAACCTTCAGAGCTGCAGCACCTTTTGTGTAGAATCCACATATCTGGTATATTGGGATAATGGAAACCACTACAGAACAATGGGGTATATAAATATAAATATATGTGTATATATTTATATATATGAACTGGGGTTGTATTAGGATAATGGAAAATAACACGGAAACTACTTTCATATTTTAGGTTCATAGAGGGTTATAAGGGGTTATATAGGGACTATGGGTGTTATATTGGGGTGATGCTGCCTTGATGGATAATCTGCAACCAGCGGCTTCTGAACGTCAACTCAAGATTGCGCAGGATATTTGGTGAAACTAATTCAGACGGGCAGCCGTCCGTGTCTGGGTCCTCACTGGAGTTGGCATTGTTCAGGTTTTGGGCTTCAGAACGCAGGGGTAGCCAACTTCCTCCAGGGTGTTAGCAACCTTCTGTGAAGGCCGTAGGGTGTGCTGCTCACTCCAAGCGCCCGTGGATCCACTATCCACTGCCAAAAGCAAGTCTGGAACGTGCTCAGAAACCGGCTTGCAATCTCTTGTGCAAACTTTCAGCCCAATCGCGCAACACTGATCTCATTGCTGTCTTCCACGCGACCCCTGAACCATGCTTGCACTCTCGGCCAATCCCTTGCGGCAGTCGAGAACAAGGAAAGCCTGCAACTCCGTCAGACAAATCAAGCCCAATCACAGCCGGCAAGCGGCAGCCTCCAAAAGCCCCCATCCCTTGCTTTCTACAATGTGGCACTTGGAAGTAAGGTGCAACCAACTGCCATGGATACTCGGCTCCCCCTACGCTAGCACAGGAACGCTTGCTACAACAACACACTATCAAACTTTGGCCTAGCCCTAGGATCCTGGAAACCCGAAACGTGTAACTTTGCGAGCCAACCCTTCGGGCCCTTCACGCAAGGACGCTGATTTTGGGACGACCCTGATTGGTGACGTGACTAGCCACTGTGTTGTGGAGCTGGTGAGGGTAGAAGAGGTCGTTGTTGGCACCTCCACGCACGATGGGGTGCGGGGCGTGGTGTGTAGGGTGGCGGGGTTTAGGTAGTAGGGCTCCGTGTGCAGGTCTTCGCGCTTCTACTTGGACATCCACCAGCATATCCTACGAGATCATCATGATTTACATAGGTTGGTGACTCTTGACATCACAAACAAGACAGAAAAGGCTGCAATCCTGACATGGAAGCTTGTCAAAGTTCTCCCTACAAGACGCGGAATATGTTATTCATGCATGGGCTTGAGGTCCCTGAGCGGACACCAGACTTTGGCCCATACTCACACTGGGGTTGCAGCCCGGCTGCGAAACATTCTGTCGAGATGTCTGCACCCGCCGATGTCAAACAGCAGCAAATACGGGCAGCAATAAGGTCTCAGCATGCGGTTCCGAGATTTCAGTTCAAGGGTCAAGGTGTAGGGCTTATGGCTCCTGCAGGTTGCAGAGTTGAAAAGTCCAGGGCTGAAGGGCTCCATGCTGCAGCGAGAGCAACAGGATTTCTGACCTGTGGACGGATGTGCATGGGTGTAGCGCCTTTCGTGGTAGCGGTTCAAACGCGGAATGCCCACTTAGCACGACCGACTATAGGCCTTCTACCACAGAGAAAGTCAAATCCTGCTGCATCTGGCAGACAGCAATCATAGAATGTGAAAAGACGGCTTCTGCAGGAGCCCCTCCAAAATCGAAGGAGCCAATACAGTGCAAGCCCTTCTTCAACTCCGCCCTCCATCCCTAAACACTACACCCTAAACCCGCCACCCCTGAGCTCTCTGTCCTCTTCGTGCCCAAACCCTGAGCCCTCCTTCTCTAAGTCCGCAGTCAAGCAGCTGCTGGCTTCGCACGTGCTCCCCTGAGAGTAGGTGTAGCACGCTTTCTCCAGTCCTCGCGGCGTGCCCGTGAAGACGGATTCCCACTTCCTAGTCTTAAAGACTTTCCAATATATTAGTCTAGTCTCTATTCACGCAGAGTATTTGATATCAGGGGGGGGAGGTTTCTCATAATCGAGGAAGAGATTTCGAGTATCGGGCCAGCTTACTTCCAAAGACAGACGTGGGACCTGAAGAGGGGCCAACTATGATGTGCGGGGCCTCGATAGGATTAGATCTGTGTAGAAAAGGGGCAGCTTCGGATTACAAAAAAGTATCGCTAAGGCTCACCTTGTCTTGCAGAGCAAGGTAGCGCCGAAAAAGGGGCGCAGTTAATTATTGTTCAGGCACAAGAACAAGCACAGGTCTGCGCGGCAGCACGGGTTTCATGTTGAGCGCTGACAGTGTGCAACCAACGTACATAGGATCATAGTCGATATTGCGGAACTAATAACGAAAGCAATGAAGAAGAAACGTGCCGGCAAGAGGCGTAATGATAAAACAAAAGCAAAACCAAGAAGAAATAAACTCTACCCTAGACCCTACAAGTAGAAACGAAACCCTGACCATCAACCACCAGAGGCGTAACCCTTAACATTACCCTGGTTTCCTGAATTGTATAGCAGGGTGAGCATTGTTGTCTGCTGTAAACTGCAGCTAGATCATGTGCAGTCATATATGGGGGTTTACCAAAATTAGGGGTAACATTTTGGGGGTCCCAATAGTAAGAACTATAGTATATTGGGGTCTATATTGGGGTCCCCTCATTTTGGGAAACTACCATATGGGACCTTAGGGTAATTTGCACCTTTTTTCCGTTTGGGAACTACTCCGAAGGATGAACTATTTGGCTGTTCCTCTTCCCAACTGCTTCGTCAGGGTTTCCCCTTGGTTCCAGGTGACCTGCTAGCCCCTCTCAAACCTCTTGGCACCCCAGAGGAAATTAACCAGTTGAGTAGCAGAAAGCCATTCAGCTGGCTTCCATTTCCTGATGCAGTTTAGATACCCTACAGAACGACATAACATTAATTCGTTTCCATTTGATTTTCCATTACCCTAAACAGATAAATCCCCTTTTAAGGGTATATTAGTTTCCATTCGAGAGGGACCTCACTTTAAGCCCTAGTTCTGCGACCCGAAGTACCGCTTTGCAGCACCCAAGGGGCCTTCGAAGGAAAGCTGGAAAGGCTGCACTGCATAAAGCTGCCTCAGCTCTCCGGCGTTTCTGCGGCGGTGTTTTCATATGAGCTACTGTCTAAACTCCTAGTATTCCCCTTAATAACCCCTATAGTAGTCCCCTATATAATCCCCTATATAACCCCCCTTTAAGGAGTTTAGACTATAGCTCGTATGAAGCCAAGATTGCTGGATCCAGACGGTCAGTTCATACTTTTCTTGAGATGTCAGATAAGTCCAGGAGACAGACTCCTACGTTTCTGGTGAATCAAATTCCTCCCGCACATAAAGGATGGAATATCCAGGAATATCCACCAAAAACAGCAAATCACATCCGGTCACCCTTCACTCATGTTAGAAGCCTGGAGACTTCGATTACGGTATGGCGGTATATGAGAGTTTCTCAAGTACTGGGGCCCTTAAGGACCCTAGAAATATGAGCAACTAGGCCTTCTGGGGGTTTATGAGAGACTAGCATTCACACACACTCCTCCCCATCAATGGTCAATGATATAGAATATGATTAACCTAATACCACGCTCGTGTCCTGTGGCCTGTGCTCTTGGGCTTGTGGGTTAAATTAAGCTTATACAAGGTTAAAGTGTTTGTAGCAGGTTTATAAAAGGTCTGCAACGGTTTTTAAAGGGGTTTTATATAAGGAGTATAAGACGTGAAAAGAGGATTCTGAAGGTTTTCTAGACGATCGAAAAAGGTTTACTGTGGCTTTATAGATTTGTTGAAGGCTCATAGTGTTGGCAGAGGCCTTATCAGAACTTTATTTATCGAAGGTTTACACAAGGAAGTCATTTATGGAAGGCTTATACCGGTAGCCTCATGTGTAGGATACATGCCGCCTCATCCTGACGTGGTGACCACACCATGAGAGGGGGCTAGGGGCCCGGAGCGCAGACGCATGTCTTGAAGCTGTAACATTATCAGGGCTTTGCACAAGGCGGGACAAGTCACGATGATGGGGAAGTCACAACGCGGAAAGGGTCACCGTCCTGGTCGGCAGTGCATTCGCTGACATTGATGCTGACGACCTCACGTGACAACAGGAATAAACGAAAAATAGCTAGCAGCAAAAGTATCAGAGTAGAAAAAACCGTGTAAAATCGGAATCAAGGTAAGTTCTCGTTGGATACTGAGAAGCAGGTTAGGAGTAGATTGACAGTACAAGGAATATCCGCCTGAAACTTGAAGCATTAGTCGGCTAGAAG